CGCTTCCTTTTTGAGCCTACTGACTGATATGCGCTGGAGGGTACAAGCAACTTCCACTAATACTAGAATATAGCAGTATTGTTTACCGAAATTAAATTACGTACTAGTTGGGAGTAACTACCGACAGTTGTCCGTATCTCTGTAGTTCAGTGAGCACAGTTTGACACAGTGTCGAGCTGTGTATTGTATAAATACGTGTGCTGAAAGCCGGCTTGGTCGATCCTAATTACACCAACCGATAGCCCACACGAAGTGTATCGTATTTGAGTAACAAGTACATACTTATGGTACAATACCGTGTTGAAAACCAGTTAGATGGCAGTCGATAAATACGAAGGGGGTTTGTTGCTCATGTTTTTAGCAATCGGTGCTTCAATGGAGTGCCTCTGCCACTTCATTGCAGAAATATAAGTTTCCACTAGTTTTATTCGAAAACTTTAGTTTTTGGAACAGTGCAAACTCTGGGCCAACGACAATCCGAATAAAATCTGCATAAATGACGAATAAATTAACTGTGGATGTTCCAACATTTGGAAAAAACGAAGGTTCCACAAGTTATACTCTCTTCAGACGAGTGGTGATCAAGAGCCAGTTCTCCAATAAGAATGAGAGAGACTATCGGTGGACCCCACGGCAACAAGTACTCGGACCTGGACCTTGTCTCTTGGCCAAACAGTGCATAATATATTGATCCGAGTTGCTGAGCGTGTCGATACCGTTAGCATTGTCATGGCAGATCTCACTGGCCAACCGACCACGGCGGTGACGGCGGCCTTCCGAATACATTCACTCTAGTTGAAGATGAGCATATCATCAGCATTCAGGCGCACTGAGGCAAGTTCTACGCAAAAACGCCCATCGTATAAATCGAGATCACCACCGACAAGGCACACATCCTCTCTGGTAGGACCATAACTGAGAATAATAGCAAAGACAGCGCAAAATACGGCTTTCAATTGGGTGGCATCGTTGGCTACTGTCATAGCAAGTTTGACTTGGTAGGTTTTATTTGGACCAGTGTTGATGATCCATACTGAGCTTGAGGCACGAACTCGTCTGTAGTCGTTCAAAACGAATCTAGGCCAACCTGTGATGTAATGCAAGATCACTTGCACCAGCTCCTCCAACCCGCAGCCAACTTCGTTGGAGAGATCACTGCTCAGCTATAGTTAAGCGGATCTTTAGGTGCTGTCCGCAAGTACTAGGCATGACAGGATGATGAAGCACAGCCGGTTGCACTTCTACTGCAATCAACGTGGATCACAAGGACGACATCCCTTGGGCTGCCGTCATGGCAGGCGGGTGCGTCCTGAACTAGACTAGATAACTCACTCTTCAATTTACATTGAAGCAACCAAGCAACCAAGCAACTTTAAGCAGTAAACGTTGGCTTAACGGGGGTTCCAGCTCCCAAATCGTGAACACGTCACAAAGTTAACTTTAGTAATCTATCGTGCAAATACGATGAGGACTCGTAGCAGCCGATCGAACCCCCAAGTTGGTCAAAGAGCCGCGACTGCTGAAACGACCGCTACTACGAACAGTGGCGACACAAGCGTTAACGCGGCGGCCACAGTTCCAGTGTCATCGATGTACCGTACGTGACGGATGTATCCCACGCCGTCCTCGCGAAGTGGAAGCGTGAGCGACAGGAGTACGAGGTGGCTATTGAGGCGCGTTGCAGTGTAACAGTCGAAGACAACGAGAAAGCGCTACGAAGCGTAAAAAACTCGTTCAACCGGCAATTACTCAGCACGTTGTGCAGACTTGAATGGGGTACGGCTGTGGAGGAGGTCACTGATGATCGGATTAATGCAGAGTTGGACAAGATTGTCGGAAACGTCATGAATGACGCGATCCTCGACGTTGATGCAATTTTCGATGACGAACTGAAGATGAACCTACGTGAGCGTGATGTGAAAGCTCGCGTGATCAGCTACTTCATGCGCTGCGATGAGATCATATTGCAGCACGGTATGGCAAGTATCTTCTCCACTGAGACAGGGAAGAAAGAGAAGTGTAATATTCTCAGGAAACATCTCGAGCCTGCTGCGTTGCGTGAGGCTGTGGATACACACCTACGCATCGTGGATGCAAGCAGCAAATCGGATGAGAGTGCACTTTACATGCTGGTAAAGGAGAAAGTACTGGAGCAAGAACGAGTGCATCAGCTGCTGGCCAAACGCAGACATCAACCGAGTACTCCGCACAATACTGGGAAAACAAAGAGTGATGGTGACCAGTGGTCACGTCATGGCAACCAGCGTACTAGCTCCGACCGGAAGGTTGAAAAAGCCTCCGAACGTCCATGATCTGTGCAAATACAGACCAAATCAGCAACAGCGCCTCAGAGCAAGCCGCGGAAAGGCTGTTTTCACTGTGGCAAGGACCACTGGCTCAGTCAGTGCCCGGACCTTGATGAGGCTGCGAAAGAAGCCATTCTGGCCGAAAGGAAAAGCAAGAGAGGTGTCAACAACGACAAAAACAAGAAATTGCGCTCGAAGCGCGTCGATGCACCTTCTACGACGAACAACGTGAGCTGCCCTACGGTAGTGATCAACGGATCACTGGAGTTGTCGTATTGCGCCGACAGCGGCTCGGATATGAACATCATTTCGCGAAAGCACGTCGATCTGCTCCGCGAACAGGATACAGCTGTTGTGCTAGTCGAATTGGATGCACCAATCACTTTGAGGGTTATTGATGGAGCTTTGCTCACCTCAACGCATACAGTTGAAGTCCGACGGACGCTTAATACTGCAGCAGGTCCTGTGAGATGCCATGATGCAAAAAAAGTGTTTGATTGTCGAGACCGACGAAGATGAATTTATAGTTGGTATCTGTTGCTGGCCGAGCTCGGTATCGATGTGGACCGCCAATTGGAGTATCTGGGTACTC